TCCCCCCCCGTGCCGCCATCGTTGCCTCCAGTATCGCCGGATCCTTGCCCGTGTGACGATGTCGTGCTCAGCGGCCTGGACGAGGCGCTCGGGTACAACCCCGGCCAGGTGTACGATGGCACATTCACCCGCACCGCCGCCCTAGATCACCACGCTTACCGAGCCCCCAACGGCATGCAGCTCTACCAAGCGCAGGAGGGAGCGTCGGTGCTCTGGGTGGTTGGTGCAAACGCCGGACAGACAAATGGCATCGCCGTGAACTCCGAGGGGGGAGCCAATCGGCGCTGCCCGACTGCACTGCCGCGCACGTGGACTGTGCTGGGCAAGGCCTCGCCTCGACTGACCCTGACATGCCCACCCTCGCCGCCCGCCCCGCCACCCTCGCCGCCACCTTCGCCGCCTTTTCCGCCAATGGCCCCTCGAGTTTAGAGAGAGATTTTTAGAAGCCAACAAGAAATAGAGCACGGCACGGTGCGCGGAGTCCGCACTTGGAGCACTTGGAGTGCAGTCGGTAACCTCACATCCAGGGCCGGGGAGCTCAGAAGCGCACCCAGCGGGCCGGATGATCGGTATCGGGTTACGGGCCAGAGAGCCCTAGCCCCGGGGGTGCGCGTTCGCAGGGAAAGGGCTGTAAAGTAAACACGGGTCTCCGAGGGTTGGACCCGCGTACCGGGTTTCCCCTTAACTGCAGGACGCCCCCTCTACTCGGAGCTAGTGGACATTACACTGTACGCCCAAACACATACACTTGCTTAGTCCTCGGTCCCGGAGCTCCACATACTACGCGCGAAAATTCTTTTCGCACAATCCTCGGCCACGGGACTGCCGCGAACTGCCCACACTAACACACAGGTAAAATCCTTTCGCACCGACAAAAATGGGCAACGGCGAGAACATGCCCCATCCACCCCTCGCCGCCGCCCTCGACAAACTGCCGTTCACAAACGCCGGCACCGTCTCCTCGTCTGACGTCTTCACAATGCGTCCTGTCCCGTCCATCTACCTCGAGCCCGAGGCGCCGAGGCGGGCGCGGTGGGCGTGGGCAGAGGGTCCCATTACGCCGTTCAAGCAGTTCTCGTACCTGTACGCTGAAGCCAACGCGACGCCGCCTACAGGCATGCGCTCGGCGCCGCCTCTCGGCGGCCTGGGCTCTGGCACGGTCGAGCTTCGCGCCGACGGCTCGTTGCGCTCGTGGACGATCGAGAATGCCTCTCCGGCCGGGAGCGCAAAGACCGGGCTGCTCGACGAGGCGGCGTTCGGCTACCGGCTCGGAGGCGCTCCAGCGCGGCTGCTGCGCACGCACCCTCCTGCGGGGCTCCCGGGCGTGGAGGGGATCCGGTTCAGCGGCGCGACGCCGTTCACTCGGCTCGCCCCGACTGACTCTGCTCTGCCCGCCGGCGCCAACCTTCGCCTCTACGGCCGCTCGCGCTGGCGGCTGGGAGACCGGTCCGCGTCCGCCGTGCCCGCGGCCGGCTTCACCCTCGTCGCGACCAACCCGACCGGCCGGCCGCTAGCGCTCTCCCTCCTCTTTGTCTTGCCAGTCCAGGTGCAGGCGGGCATGCTGCGCGAGGGAAGCGGGGGCGCGGCGGGCGAGGCGCACAGCGTGGGGGAGTGCGCGGTGCGCTGCCGTGACGAGGCGTCCTGCGCGGCGTGGTCCTTTGTCAACGCGACGCGCCGCTGCACGCGCTTCGCAAACTTCTCCGCCGTCCCGCCGGCGGCCAACTCTGCGTCGCCGGCCGACGGCGCAGGGGTGCGGCGCAGAGACGAGCGCGACACGTCCCCGACACGTCCACTACATGTCCGAGACACGTGCCCGACACGTGCCCGACACGTGCCCGACACGTGCCCGACACGTGCCCGACACGTGCCCGACACGTGCCCGACACGTGCCCGACGTATGTGAGGGACGCCCGTCCGCTTGCCCGCAGGTGCGCGGCGCGTGGGGCGAGGCGCGCGGAGATTCGGCAGAGTGCATGACGCTGCGCCGACCGGGCACCCTTCGCGCCCGGCCGGCGACGCGTCCATGACGCGTCCAGAAGCACGTCCCGTGGAAGCGGCCCATATCTAGATAGGCACCCACGCGTCCGCCGGGGAGGTTTCGCTCTGCGGCGCGGGCGAGGGCGGCGCTGCGGCGGCGGAAGTCTCCTTTGGAACCGCCGGTTCGCTCGTCGCCCTGTGGCGATCCTTTGCGGAGGCGGGGCGCCTCGACGGCGCGATGGGAGGCTCGCACGGCGGTGCGGTAGTGCGGCTAGTTGTCGCGCCGCACGGTACGGCGAGTGCAACGGTGAGCCTCGGCTGGTACTTTCCGGCGCGCGACTTTATGGGCGGGCTGGTTGGCAACTTCTACGCCTCCTCGAGGCTCGTGCTCGGCTCCGAGGAGGCGGCGCGCACGCTGCTGCCGGGCAGCGAGGCGGCGGCAGACGTGCGAGCCCCCCCTCCCCCCCCCCCCCTCTCTCGTGTCCCCGGCGTGGCAGCGACATGTCCGCGACACGTCCCGCAGGTGCGCGGCTGGGCTTCCTTCGCGGCGACCCTCTCCTCGCCGTCGAGCAGCCTGCCGGCCTGGCTTGGCGACTCGCTGCTCAACTCCCTCCACCACACGCGCTCGGTGATGTGGCTCGCCGACGGGCGGTGGGAGGAGACTGCCCGAGATCACCCGAGATCACCCGAGATGTGGCTCGCCGGCGATGGGAGGGGGCGTGGGGGGCCCGTCCCGCTCGTCGCTGACATGTCCGCTCGGCGCCCGCCACAGGTGGAGACAGTGGGAGTCGTACTCGTGCGTAAACGTGGACAGCGTGCACAACGATGGAGAGAGGCACCGCGCACCTCATGCTCTGGCCTGGGGGGCTTCTGAACCTTCTACGAACCTTCTACGAGCCTTCTACGAGCCTTCTAGGCACATCCCGTACCTCATGCTCTGGCCCGACGCGCTTCCGTCCAAGATGCGCGCCTGGGCCGCCGGCGCCATGCCGGATGGGATGATCCAGGAGCAGCTTGCGTGCGGCTGCGAGGGACGGCGCTGCCGCACACTCGGAGGCCGCGCGTCTGGACGCATCCCGCGGGGTTCTGGTCGCGTAGGTGCGGCTGCATGGACGGCGTCCCTCCGCGGCTCGGCCGCCTAGATGCTGAATGCTGAATCCCCCCCCCTTTCCAACTTGCCTCTTCGCGGACTCGCAGGATCCCCTCACGCGATGCATGACACTGTCTCCGTACCCCCCCCCCTCCCAGACCCCCCCTCCCGGCTCGGGCATTCCCAACGCGCAGGCTCGACGCGCCGTGCGGCCGCGTGATGGGCGACGTGAGCTCGATGTTTGTCGTCTACCTGCTCGAGTGGTGGCGGTGGACAGCCGATGAGCCGAGCGCCGCATCCCTCGTCGTCGAGATGTGGCCGGCCGCGCGGGCGGCGGCGAGGTGGCAGATGGACCGTTCGGCTGAGTCGGGCTTGCCCACCCGGCTCGTCGACACGTGCGACGGCCTACGCCACGGGCGGAGCATGCTGGGGACCGCCCCGGAGGAGGGCTGCTGGAGCCCTCGCGTAGGTACGACGGGCTTCGCCTCTCGCGCTACAACGTCTCCTGCTTCTCCGCCCTATTCCACCTCCTCGCGATGGCCGCCGCGCGTGAGCTCGCCCTCTCGCCCCCCGTGCGGGACGCCGCCTTTGCCGCCGAGTGCGACGCCGCCCTCGCGCGCGGCCGCGCCGCGATGGACGCGCTGCTCTGGGTCGAGGGGGGAGGCTACTACCGCAGCTACACCGGCGGCGAGGCGCTCATGTCCGACTCGCTCTACGCGCAGGTCCTCGCCGATACGCTCGGGCTCGGCGCACTCACTTCCGACGCGCAGGCCGCCCTCGCCGCCCTCGCCGCCCGCCCCGCTCTTGCCGTTTTTGCCACTTTGCCGCCCTCGCCGCCCTGCCCGCCCTCGCCGCCCTGCCCGCCCTGGTCGCCTTGGCCGCCCTCGCTGCTGTCGCCGCCCTCGCTGCTGTCGCCGCCCTCGCTGCTGCCGCCTTCGCTGCCGCCCTCGCTGCTGTCGCCGCCTTCGCTGCTGTCGCCGCCCTCGCTGCTATCGCGCCCCGCCCCCCTCGGTCCCTCCCACCACCGCCGCCACGCCCCGCCCCGCAGGTGACTCGCCACCTCGCCGCCGTCCTCCAGCGGAACGACTCGCCCTACGGCCTCCTCTGCCAGACCGGCCGCTACCCGCTGCCTGCCGGGGCGGGCGCGGACAACTCGATCTGGATGATGGCTACCGCTACTTGCCGGCGGCGCTGCTGCCGCCCCTCAAGCGCCGCTCTCACGCGTCTCGGCGCGAGAGAGTGTAGGCCAACCCCAACTGGGCGTCGCTGAGCCTGCGGCGCGGCGGCGACCCGCACAAGGCCCTCTCCGTTGTCAACAAGACGTTCGGTTGGGTGCGTGACGCGCTTGCCGACCAGTGGAACGTCGTCGCCGTGTACGGCGGGCTTGGCTACGGCGCCGAGGGCCTCCCCGCCGCCAACTCGCACTACGGGTACCATCTCGTCGCGTGGCACTTGCTCTTCGCCCTCACCGGCCAGGTGTACTCTGCCCGCTCGCGCTCGCTCACGTTCGCGCCCGCGCTGAGGGGCCGGTTCGAGCTGCCCGTGCTGGTTCCTGCTGTGGCGGCGACCCTCTCGCGCGGCAGCGACGGTGAGTGCACGCTCGCGGTGGCGGCGGCAGGCTCGGCGAGCCTCGTGCTGCACACGCTCTCCGTCGACGGCGTAGCGCCACCGGCGGGTGTCTTGCCGGTCAAGCTGGCTCCTGGGCAGAGGGTGTCGTGGGGCGGCGGCGCTGGTGCGCGCACGAAAGTCACTCTTTCGTCTTTGAAACCTGTCGATTAAAAACGCATGCCATGCGCGTGCGCCTAACAGAGGGGGGGGGCGGGGGGGGGGGGGTGAAAGAAAGAAAACATACCTGCCAATAAAGGGGGAAGAGATGCGAAAATCATTTCTTCGTGAAGGCTGAAGCAATTGGCCGGGCTGCGGACTGCAGCTGCGCATAGACGACGCGCAGCCAGGCCGGGTCCAAAATAGAGGTCGAATACTCGCTGCCCCCGGAGAGGGACGACGGGTATCGACGCGGCCCCAGCAAGGTGTACGCCAAGGTTCCCCAGGGGACCGTGGCGACGACCGTCGCCTCGGACTGGCTCGCAAACGAGCTGGCCGAGTATGGAGAGATTGATGCGGCATGCCGCGACAGATTTGTCATGCACCTGATGACGGCCGCCGGCGCCTCGGCGCCGGCCGACGCCGTGTTCAGGTTCACAGCCGGCGAGGCGATGCAGACCTCTCGCCCGACCTCCGCGTCGGGCGAGGACGACGACGAGGACGCCGACCTCCGAGGAGTATTCCGACGACGGGAGGGTGTCCGACTAGCTGGCCTCACCCATATCTTACCCCTTCTGCCCCCCCCTCCTCCGACCCCCCAGGCTAGATGGAGTAGTCAGATGTAGATTCTGCCCCACACAGCCCCTTACCCCCTCACTCTCGCCTCGCTGCTTGGTGTTTCTGAACACGCAGTCGTCCACGCTGTGGGGGTTTGTTATTGTGCGGGTCCTGTGTCTGGGAGGGAGGGAGTGGGGTGCAGGTTGCTCACCCACGGCACCGGGCCGGTGCTTGCACTTTGAATGCCGTGGGGCTCCTGCCCGTGTCCCAGGCGTGGAGATGCGAGGGTCGCCCCCCCTTGCCCCACCACTTTGTGTGTGTGGAGACGTTTACCTTACCTTACCTTACCTTACCTGAAGCAATTTGTGATTTCTCGTCTTGGCCAGGGTTTTCTTTTTGCCCCCAGCGGTCTTTCCCGCCCGCCTGCTCGACCTCCCCAGGGAGCTCCTCGAGCGCGTCCTCTCCCGCTTCGACAGCCCCATCGACATCGCTCGCGTCGCGGCCGTCTCGCTCCTCTTTCACGCCCCGCTTGCGGAGGATGGCATCCGCTTGTGGGCGCAAGAGCGCGGCTTCGAGCTGCCGCCGCAGCCAGAGGGCGAGGGCTGCGCCGTGCGGTGGCTGTGCTATTCGGCGTTGCTGCACGAGTCCAACCGGCCGGCGAGGGCGGCAGCAGGCGAACGGCACAGCGTCTTCATCGACGGCGAGGGGCAGCTCTCGTCGTGCGGCACACGGCATCGGAGGGCGAGGAGGAGGAGGGGGGGGGGGGGGGGGGGGATTTTCCAGGCCTTCTCGGCCACGGCGAGGGCGTGACGCGGCTCAACACACCGACCCGCCTCCCGTCAACGCTGGGTGACGAGCGTGCCGTGAGCGTGTCGGCTGGAGGTGGCCACAGCCTCGCCATCAGCGCCGACAGAGCGCCGTTTGGAGCTGGGGCGATGGGGTGTGTTGCATGCTGGGCCACGGCGATGAGCAGAGCGAGTCGCTGCCCAGGAAGATCGACATCTTCACTGGCGAGCGCGTCGTCGCCGTGTCGGCGGGCAGGGCTCACAGCCTCGCCCTCGCCGCCGACGGCGCCGTTTGGAGCTGGGGCTATGGCGACGATGGCCCGCTGGGCCACGGCGACCAGCAGCGCCAGTCGCTGCCCAAGAAGATCGAGAACTTTGCTGGCCAGCACGTCGTTGCTGTCTCGGCTGGCCAGGGCCACAACCTCACCATCACCGCCGACGGCGCCGTCTTGAGCTGGGGCTGGGGATACTCTGGCCGGCTGGGCCACGGCGACGAGGAGACGCAGCTGCTGCCGAAGAAGGTCGAGGCCTTTGCAGGGCGGCGCGTCGTCGCTGTGTCGGCTGGAGGCGACCACAGCCTCGGCCTTACCGCCGACGGCAGCGTCTGGAGCTGGGGTTGGGGAGGGAACGGCCGGCTGGGCCACGGCGACGAGCAGAACCAGCTGCTGCCCAAGAAGGTCGAGGCCTTGGCTGGCCAGCGCGTCGTCGCTGTGTCGGCTGGAGCCGGCCATAGCCTCGCCTTCACCGCCAGCGGCCCCGTGTTTTCCTGGGGCGAGGGTAGACGCGGCTTCCTCGGTCACGGAGAGGACCTGTCGAACCAGCTGCTGCCCAAGAAAATCGAGGCGTGGGCGCGGGCAACGCGGCCGTAGTATGTGTATGAGGCGCTGCTGAAATCTGGAGGGGGAAGCGATAGCGAGTGTGAGATTCAGATTGATTTGAGCTCTGTGGCGACCGACGCGAGCGCACGCGACGGGGGGGGGTCGGGGCGCGACGCCGACGCGACCGGGGCGGGCTAGGCCCGGGGGCGGGCGGGCCGAGATCGCGAGATGATTGTTCGCACCTTTTCGCACGCCCCACACAGAGCACATGCGAGTTGCGACATTGGGGGGATCGGGGGAACAATAATATTTTGAATTTTCCAGCGCCTCAGCGTGCGATTCGAGCGTGCGGTCGCCGCACGCAATCTAGTCCGACCGAGACACGAGAGACACACTCTGACTGTGCGACTCGTCGCTGTGTCGCTACCGATCGCGATCCACCCACATCCTCCCCGCCCCCGCAGCGAGCACGACGCGGCTACCCTCCCCCTCGTCCAGTCCCGGTGCGATCACGTCGAGTCCCAGCACCATCGCGGGCGCGTCCCCGAGGCCGAGGGCGTCAAAGACGGGTAAGTCGGCGATCGCGAGCGTCGTCTCGCGCCGCACGCGCGACGGCGCGTCCGCGCTGCCAAACAGGCCCGCCGGCGCCCCTCCGAGCCCGAGCGTCGCGGTCGCCTCCGAGACGCGCACCGGCACGCCAGTGGCGCCCGCCAGGACCTGGTCCGTCGCCGCGACGCGAGGGTCGCCGCGGCTGAGGTCGAAGCCGGCGGCGCTGGCGGCGGCGGGGTTGGCGACGGTGGTGGAGGAGCCCAGGTCGACGATGGCGAGCGCCCGCGCCGGCGGAGGCGGAGGCGAGGAGGGGGAGGCGGGCGGAGCGGTGAGCTCGACGCGTGTGGCGATGAGCCCGGACTGGAGCCGCTCCAGCGGCAGGCAGGAGAGGCCGTCCGTTGGGAGCGCTGCTGAGCCCTTTCCCTTCTCCGCCGCGCCGTCGGCCGCAGATCCGAGCGGGTAGAAGCTGGCTGTCGGGAGCAGGGGCCGCAGACAGAGCTCGACCTCGAAGCGCGAGAGGAAGTCGAGGCCGAGCAGGCCGCACTCGCCGCCGCCGGACGGCCGCTCGAGGGGAAGATCCATCACCACCGGCGCGAGACGGCCGCACGCAAGCCCGCCCGGCAGCGCCACCTCACCGAGGTCGACCTGCTCGAAGCCTCCCAGGCCGACCGCCGTGCCCGTGTCGGCAGTCGCTCGCACGCCGGTCGGGCGCGCGCCGAGCAGCCGCGCCGCTGCGGGGGTAAGCAGTGAGTTTGAGGCGGCCGAGTCGAGCAGCATCAGCAGCCGCGGGTCGGCGACGGAGGCGTCGTCAGCGGATGCCAAGCGGATGCCAACGTAGCGCTTGGAGTCGACGGTGACGCCTGCGCCCATCGCTCCTCTCGCAGCCTGAAGCAGCTCGAGAGGGACGCAGTGGCCGACTCCGGACGCCTCGGGCGCACGCTCGAGCAGCAGGCGGTACAGCTCCTCCTTCTCAAAGCAGCCCTCCGTCGACACTCCGAGGCGCCGAAGGCGAGCCTTGATCTCTGACGCCCGGAACGGCTTCGGCTGTGCTCGGGACAGAGCACTGGCGAGCGAAGTGAACGCAACGGAGACCCACACGGCGCAACGCATGCACAGGTCACGCGAACACAATTGAGAGGCGGCACTACCGGTAAGAATTCTTTCGGCGAAGTCGGCTTTCCCAAAAAGACCTGTTTTCTCGTTTTTCATGCACACCCGGACACAGCCGAGCCTCGGGCGTCCAAATCGGGGGCTGTGGGGTAGACACGGCACCGGAGGCTTGGCCCGGGGGCGAAGTGAGGGGCGGCGAGGGCGATCGCGAGCACCAAGGCTGGGCCACCTCTGGTCGTCTGCGATCACCGTCAACACGTCCTCGAGCGTGATGGTCCCGAGAACTCGCGCGTCGTCGCACTCGCAAGCCGTTTTTTTTGTCTTGGCGACCTCCGGAATGAATCGCGTGGTGATGAGAGCCGCGTTGAATTTCGAACGATCCGTCGGAAGCGCTGCTGCGACTGCTTGGGGGGGGGGGGTCCCGACCCCCCCCAGCGAGCAGTGTGCGGCCGCTCCTGGTTTCTGTTCCGATTGGTGCGACTGGTGATGAGTGTTACAAGCTGAGGTTGTCAACGCCGGGTGCGGGTAAATCTCAGCACGGATCGGCACGTGTGGTAGCGTGCGATGAGGCCTTGCCAGCTCCTGCTGGTGCCCTCAAGATCGCCGCGCGCATTGGCCGCTCCGCTGACGTTGTGATAGAGCTTATTTCTGTCTCCAACAGAGTAGATCCAAACACCCTATTGATAGGTGATAGGTACTTAAAACACTGGCACAACGCCCGCCTTTCACAGCTCAGCCTTTCAGGGCTTGGGCATGACAAGCAACGGCGCAGCCGGTCGGCGTCCGATGCACGAGGCAGCCATGTTGGCTGCCACGGCGTTTCCGCTCGGGATCGCGGCAGCCTGGCGGACCCCGTGAGCCACACACGTGCATGGCAGCGCAGCGCGTCGCCAACCTCGCTTTCGGAGCAAAAACCAGAAACCAGAGCAACGACAAGCCGGTGTGTGCTATATCCTATATCGAGAGAGAGATATCGAAAAACCAGAAACCAGAAATCAGACCGCCGCGTCCCCCCCAAGGGTTCCTCCCACCAGAACATGCTGCTGTCTTAGTACTCCCGTTCGACCCATTCGGAATCCGATGAGTTAATGAGGGGTAATTCCGCCGGAATGACCCCTCCGGGGAGATCGTTCACACCTCGAAAAACCAGAACCCATAGCGTCTGGACCGATATTCCCATGGCCCGGATGTTTCT